TTGGATCTCCTTACCGCCCAGGGGGCTCTCAAGACTCTTCAGTACTGGCAACTAATGCAAAGATAAATAGAACAAATTTCATTCCCGCCATCTGGAGACAAGTCTAGGAAGAGAGTCAGACATGTGAATGTGATTGTAATTAATGCAAGTGTGATAACTGTGGCAATGTGATTAATGCCAAAAGGTTAGGAGAGCAGAGAGGGGTACCCCCGCCCCCCAAGGTAAGTCAGGTAGGCTGCCTAGGGGACAACTGATCGCTTGCAAAAGCTTAGATACCGTGTAAAAGCCAGAATATTGGAGTGGGTAAACTTTCCCTTCTCTAGAGGATCTTCCCAACCCAGGGATTGAACCCAGGTCTCCTGCATTGCAGGCAGATTCTTTACCAGCTGAGCTACAAGGAAAGCTCAAGAATATTGTAGGGTAGCCTTTCCCTTCTCCAGAGGATCTTCCGACCCAAGAATTGAGCCGGGGTCTCCTGAATTGCAGGCGGATTCTTTACCAACTGAGCTATCAGGGAAGCCCCCAAAGCTTAGACAAACAGGACTCATTCTTAGACATGGTGGGAAGGGCTCTTTGGAAAAAGGTTTCAGAAATGGGCAACTTGTGATCCCAAGTCCTGAAAGTTAGCTGCTGGTGGAAGAGAAGGAGGAGGAGAAGGAGGTTGAGGTGGGGCAAGTCAGCAAAGGCCGTATCATGAAGGGCCCCCTACCTACCAGCTAAGGAATTTGGATTTTATCCTGAGAAGAAGAGGAATTGTTGAAGCCTTCTGTCATCATGTCTTCCTAACTGGAATCTAAATTCCATGCGACTGGGGTCTGTTATTCATCTTTGCATCCTTTGTAATGTCTGGCCATGGTCCTGGAATGGGTAGGACATGGAGTAGGTGTTGATTGATCTCTAAGGCTGTGTGATAGTCTCTTCGAGTCTTGCAGGCTTGTTTCAAGCTGTATTATTAAAACGGAGTGAGTCAGAGCAAAGAAACTTTTGGAATGGAGGGGTGGGGGTCTCATTACACTCTGGGCATTGTGCCTAGGCACTCCCAATTATTATTTAATCCATGTCACCCCTCCTCACTCAGATTTACCAGTGACCTCTGATTGCTCTTAAGATAAAGACCAGAGTTCACAGTGGCCTGCCTGCAAGGCTGCTGTTCACTGTCTGGTGCTTTTGACCTGTTTCATTTCTGTTCATTTCTGAGGTGTCACTTCAGTCACAGCCTTCCCTGCCCCACGACTCCCTGGAGCAAATGGGCTCTGGCAGCTCAACTCTGTGCTCGTCCCTGGGATCATGTGATTATTTGATTTCTATTCTGCCCCTTCAAGCATATGAGCTCTGTGATACCTTTCTGTTCCTTGCACCTACAATGCCTAAATTTAGTGGATGCTTGAATTTTACATAATCCATAACAGCCAGACCTGGAACTCAGGGGTATCTGACAACAGAGTCTCCCTCTTTGTGCGAACAGACACTCAAGCAGGCCCAGCGGGCCGCCAGTGCAGGTCAAGAGTGCGTTTTTCATACTGACCTCAGTGTCATGGTTCTCCCCACCTGTTGAGTGATCAACAGAATGAACAGGCTAGTGGTTAAGGACATGGGATCTGGAACCAGAGAGTCTAGCCTCAAGTTCCTCCTCTACCATTTACTAGCTGTGTTACCTTAAACAGGCTATTGAATCTGACTTTTTCCTGGAAATTGGGATAATACTACCCACTTTATAGGATTATTGTGAGGATAAACTAAATTAATCCATAAAAAACACTGCTACAAAGCACACAGAAAGTGCTCCGTAATTGTTAGCTGTTACCATTACCACTATCCATGTATTCCTTCCTGTTGCCCTACTGTAATCCCAGATTACATCCAGAGGGCCTGTGTGAGTGCATGCTCAGCTGTGTCCGACTCTCTGCCACCCCATGAACTGTAGCCTGCCAGGTTCCTCTGTCCGTGGGATTTCCCAAGCAAGAATACTGGAGTGGGTTGCCATTTCCTCCTCTAGGGGATCCACCTGACCCAGGGATCAAACCCGCATCTCCTGCATCAGCAGGCAGATTCTTTACCCAGTGAGTCACCAGGGAAGCCTAGGGGGCCTATAGCAATTTTTAATTATTTTATGGAAATTCTCTTCTTGCATGAAGCCATCTGCTCTGAAGTTGTAATTCAGCTATGTCCTCTCAGTTCAAAATTGGTCATTTGCGTCTTCAGCAGAAGTTTTCTAAGCGCAAAATATAGTAATATTAATACTTTTTGCTGTGAATTTCGAGGTTTTTAGATTCACATGTTTCTTCACACCTCTGCTCAGTTAGGAAAAACAGTAGTGCAGTGTAGTAAAGGATACAATATTAACAGCACTGTTCTCTCACAAATCAGAGCTTCCCATGTAGCTCAGCTGGTAAAGAATCCGCCTGCAATGTAGAAGACCCCAGTTTGATTCCTGGGTCGGGAAGATTGCCTAGAAAAGGGATAGGCTACCCCCGCCCCGCCCAGCATTCTTGAGTTTCTGTTGTGGCTCAGCTGGTAAAGAATCCGCCTCCAGTGTGGGAGACCTGGGTTCGATCCCTGGTTTGGGAGGATCCCTGGAGAAGGGAATGGCTACCCACTCTTGTATTCTGGCCTGCTGAATTCCATGGACTGTATAGTCCATGGGGTCTCAAAGAGTCGGACATGACTGAATGACTTTCACTTTCACTTTTCTCTTACAAATCATAACCCTTTTCCCCAAACTAAGCACCATATTATTGAGCTATTTGAATAACTGACCTGATTCCACAATCCCACCCCAAGAAAACCCTAGTTGTTGGGAAGTGCTTTATGTCGCCATGTCCCCCTATTCATCAGTAGATGAGAACAGGTGTAATTTTACAGGAAATTAAAAAAGGAAGAAAGGGAAAAAATACTTATTTCACATATGTAACAGTTGCATAACAAAATTTTAACATTTTTAACATGTTTCCTTATAATGGAATTTTCTGTAAATATTTTTTATTCTTTCCTTGGTTTTACATTGTTGAAATTCTTAACTAGTTTCTAGTGGTTAGTGTCTGAGTGTGTTTTAGTGGCTTAACTGCTTACCTTGCTCTTAAAAGAAAATAGCTGCTGATTTGTAGTTAAAGATGAGAGAACTAACCACAGTACATTTGCCCCTCCCTGTGCCAGGCATTACTACCTTCTGAGTTGATGTTACTAATCCGCACAGAGCCCTGCAAGAGAAATGACTGGCCCATCCTGGAGATGAGGAAACAGAGGCTTAATGAGATGAAGAGTTTTCCCTGGCAGCTGGCATGTATCAGACCTTGTGTGTCTAGGCCCTGGAGGTGCAGGGGTTAACAAGATCAGGGCATAAGGGATAACGAGAAATAAGCCTGGCAATTAAGTTGGGGTTATAAATGGAAGACCTCAAAAGACTGGCTGAGGGATGTATAATTAATTTTGCAGGCAGTGTGGAACTAATGACATTTTGTACTTCCTCCCACCTTCTCAGTCCTCAACACTGGGCAATCAATGATGTAAGGAACCTTTCAGGTGATTTCATTGCTCACTCAAGTCTGAGGACCACTGGTGTAACGCATCAGTGGCCATGATGTAGAAAGGACCGGAAGGGCAAAAAGGACCTGGGGGAGGTTGGTGCCAGAGCCAAAGCAGAGGTGATTAGGGCATAAGTCTGGGTGGATTCACTGGAAACAAAACAAAGGGAAAATGTGAGATTTTTTTTCAAGGAAGAAATGATGCTTGATGACCCAGCAGAGGCAGAACTGTAAGATGGGAGGCCCACAAGTGGTAGAGCTGCATTATATGCCTCAGTTAGCTGAACCTTATTATTGTGCCTTAATTTATAGTAATTTAGTATGTCTCACACCCATCAATCTGCTGCTCTTAACTAGATTCAACTTTCCCTATAGGAATAAAAATGTACCAGATGCTCAATACCAATAATAATGTTGACCATAGATTGAGTTATTAAATGCCAAGAACTGTTCCCTATGCACTTTATAGTCATTATCTCATTGTTGTTCATTAGTTATAGATGTTCATAAATTGCCTTCCCTCAGTATCCAATCTAAGCTGCACACCACTATAAAATTAATGTTTCCAGACACTGATCTGACAGACTGAGAGTCTGGGCTCAGAAGTCAGACAGCTCGAGGCTTAAACCCCAAGCCCCATCATTTCCCAGGCATATGTGGTCTTTGAGCAGGTTACTTACCCAACCTTCTGCCAAAACTTCCCCCAGCTATATTACAAGTATTATTAATACAAGGTGGGTGTGATCATGAGTGGAACTCTCAGGGTTATTGTGGGAACTAAATGAGAAAGTGACTGCACAGTGCTTGACATTGGAAGTACTGAATAAATATTGCTGATACAGATGTCACTCCCTTGCTTGCTCAGAACCTTCACTGGCTCTTCTTGGTCAAGAAAATAAACTCCTTAATCTGGCCTTGAAGATTGTCCACAGAGTCACTTACCTCCCAAACCTTTTATCTGATGGTTCTTTGCGTCAACCCAGTGCTTCAGCTAAGCTGCTCAGTGTCCCCCAGACACTCTAATTCATTACCACATCCCGACCCTTGGTTCTCTTCTTCCGCCCATCTCGTCACATCCCTCAGGGCCCATCCCGATTGTCCGTGTTTGTAGAGCCATCCTTGCCAGTCCTTCACCTGTGAAATGAGTAGATCCTTCCAAACTCTGGAGCTTTAAAGACCTTGAATGTTCGATGGACCCTCTGCAGCAGTACACGGGGCCCAGGACAATTCTGTCCGCGCTCAGCCTGCCTTCCCTGCCCTTCAGTAAGTGCGGGGCCACGCTGGGAGCCCAGCCCAATTCCAGGGACCTGCTTTCTTAGTGCTGGTAACAGACACTGGCACTTAGCAGCTTCTTGGTCTTTCCTAAGTTCATTTGAATATGTGTTGGCTTTGTTTTCTCACTCCGATGTTGCTGATAAAACTTCCCTTATAGGAATAACAATTAATTTGTAAAATAATTATTATTGTTTGTCTTCTCAGGATGAACTTGACCTCACAGACAAACACAGGGAAGCCATGTTTGCACTTCCAGCAGAGAAAAAATGGCAGATATACTGTAGCAAGAAAAAGGTAAGATGTTCATGATGATCATGGTTAACTGGAAATTCATCATTGTTTTGATGCCCTTTGCTCTCCCATTTCACCACCAGGCTTCAGGCAGTTCTTTATAATGTAAAGACCAGATCGAATGTGCCCAGCTGTGGCCAGCTCCTTGGGTGCTGATTTTATCAACACCTCATTGCCACCCCCTCCCCTCACACCATTATGCATAACCTTGAGTATGAGACCCCTAAATAATATCAGCTTACAGAAGGTTGAAGTGTTTTTCCAAAACTTGCCCTTTACATGAAAGTTTGTATGTAGGTAGGTGAGGACCAGCATTGTGGTTTCACAACTGTAGTTTTCTCCACTCTCTGTGACTACCTTTGAACAACTTTCTATCTTGCCATCTCTAAGATGTGGCCTTGTCCTCATGGTGTGAAGTGGCTGTCCGTCCATTTCACGTTCCAAACTGGGGATGGAGAAAAGGGGAAGGCACAGCTCCCCACCCCCACTCTTAGGGCCATACCGGGAGTCCAAGACCTGAATTCCCTCACATCCCACTGTTAGCTACATGGCCACACCCTCCTGCCAGGAATGCTGTCTTATTCTGGGTGGTCATCCACACATAAAAGCTGGGGATTCTGGTACCTTTGGAGGAGGAGAGAAAGGAATTCATGGGGTAGAGAAAGTACTTAACTCTCTTCCGTAGCCTCCATGGCACTAGGCACCACCCATGGACTCTATCTCCCGCAGTAAAACTCACTCTGCCATCTTTCATACCTGGTGGCAGATTCTGTGACTGTTTTCTCACCCATTTTTGGAACCACCTGTTGTTCGTGGCCAGTTTTTGCCACTTTCCCATCTGTTCTAGGGAAGACTTAGATCAAGACAGGGAAGCAGAAAGGGCAGGGTTAAGATCCTAAGCAAAATGCTACCTCTCCAACAGGAGTGGGTGCTGGATTACTCACCTCTGGAAGCAAAGAAACTGGAACAAACTATAACAATCCAATACCTTGAGAAGACACAGTATCAGTCAGGGAAACCTTTCCTTAGTGGGTTAGGATACATTCGGGGACATCCTTTTGCCCTCATGGTTCCCACCCCCAACCCCACCACACTGCCTTGTGTAATTGGCATGCCTCCTCCTGGGAGCATCTCTCCAGCAGTGAACCTTCCTGTATTCCTCTCATGTCAGACTTTATAACCCTTGTAACACCAGCATCTGATACCTGGAAGTGAAGGTATGATGAATGAACCACTGAGTTGTTGGGTTATACCTACCTCTCAAAGAAACTAAAGCACATTTAACTTTCCATGTGAGCTATTGTAATTGATAAAACTACATGTGGGGTTTTGTTCCAGGGGTCTTTGCTGAGAGATGTGTCCAACTGTAGCCTCTTAAGATGACTTCTGGGCCACTTAGGTCATGTCAAGCATTAAGGATTCCTAATGCAGTGGTAACCAGTAAGATGTGTTTGTGAATGAGTATGTCCTCTTCTTTCTCTCTGTGAACATCTTACCAATGGGAAGACCTCTGTCTTGTCAAACTGATGGGTCATCACTCAGGAAAGAGATTTTAAATGGAAAGAATTTTAAAATGAAAATAAAAATGGGCTCTATCTTTTTTTTTTGGGGGGGGAGGGTTCTGTCTTGATAATAACAGTGTTGAATGGTCTTGAAAACAAGAGAACTTTTCAGGCAGCTGCCTTCAAGACCTGGCCCCTACAACTGAGAAAGAAAAATCCTTAAGTGCCTGAGTACACAGAGGACATTGTCTATTTTGGCTCAAACTAGCGCAGATTTTTTTTCTCAAAATTAGGAAACAACGTGAAGTGGGGATTGAGAATATGCACTGGAGGAGAGGAAGGGGCAGGAGAATGGGAGCAGCTTACCGAAGGGAAAGTTTTCTTCTTTCCCAGATTTTATTACGCCCTTGACGGCAGTTGAAAGTTAATCATGGAAACTACTGCCCCTTAGATTAGAAAAGGCAAGCCCTGGAGGATAGAAATGACCTTGGCCTCACAGCTGCTGCTCATTTTTCAATTTCCTGGCCTATCAAATCCTCTTTCAAACCTTGTCTCCTATGTGCGTGGTGGGGTCGGCTTTTTGTAGGAGAGTGGATGTAGATGTGGCCACTGGCCTCAGAATCCCATTTCCTGACGGATGCACTATTCCTACGAGTACCTGGCCCAACTGTGCAGATCTTTGGGAAAGCAGTTTTCCGGCTAGCTTCATTCCAACAACTTGGATTCCCTTTATGACTTAGCAATAGTGTGACTGAGTGGAAAAGCCATCTTAACTCTTTGGGGAATCCTGGGAGTTTATAGATCTGCCTCACTTTAAAATGGCTTGACTGAGGATTTTATTGATTAGAGCTTCTCAGACTGTTAAACCTATGCTGTGCTTTGGGTCTACAACTGACCTTTTGGGACCCTGTAATAAATCGAGAAATAACACCATAAGAGAATACAAAACCCTTTGCATGAAAAGGGCCTGATGCTTGGCCCTCTTCAAAGAACCTGGTCCCCTTCAGGACGGGTTGCCCATTCTCAGAAGGGAGCCCATGATGGCCATCTTTACCACCCAGAACAGACTGTTTTCCTTGGACCATCTCTTGGATATAGCCTTTTCAAATCAGACTTGTCACCAGCAAGCCCGACCACATCCATTTCTCAGGCCAAGGGAGAGCTACACCCCCATGGCCCCTTCAGACTTTCCATCTTCCAAGCTTAGAACTCAGGGCATCATAGACGTTCTCACACATAGTGAAGCCAGAGAGTAAGGGCCCACGAGCGCCAACAGAAACAGAGCTGGGAGAAGCAGGCTTTCTGCATGAAAGTGCACAGCAGTCGTGCAGACAGACGGGGCTGGGAATAAAGGGGGGCCCGGCCTTCCTCGGCCAAGTGGCTCTTTTCCATCCAATAGACACTGAATCCCAGCGGTGGCTATCTGCTTATCAAGCTCTGTGTTCATTTCTCAAACGGCTTTATCCGAGTCCTCTGGTTGAAAACCCATTTTCAGAGCCAAAATGAAAGCTGCAGAAGTGTTCCTGGGGCTAAAAGAATTGGAAAGAAATTAATTGGAATTTTGCCTAATTAAGTAATCTGGGGGGAGAGCAAGAGATGGATGTTGCGGCCTTGTTGAAAGTCCAAACAAATCTGTAAAAATGACTGTAGAGTGGTTTGGTCAGCCGTGGTTTGTCGTATGTAGCAGTCCACTGTCAAATTTTTTTAACTTGTACGAAAGGTCCAAGGAAAGACTCTGTTGGTGGAGCTGGGGGTATTTTCAAATAGGAAATGTTTGTGGTTCTTATCTTTAAAGGTAATTCCCTTTTTAGTTCCAATCACAACATGCTCTTTTGTTTAAGTGAGGTTTTTCCCAGTCTTCGGCCAGAAACTGCATCTGTTAACAATCTTTTGGATTTTAAACTGAAGCTTTTTAAACAATGAACCATCTGACCACGAAAGGCATCTGGCCATGCTGTATTTGCTTATTGTTAACATGATTTTTAAACCCTGGGAAAAGTAAGGAGTAGGTCTTCAGAGAGGAGAAACTAAGATGGTATACACACTGTATTATGGCAACAGCACTTACCAGCCCAGGCAGAAATTTTCTTTAGTCACACTTCTTGACAGGAGCAGTTGAAGTAGTTGTGTCACTTAACCAATCCTTTTAAGTGTCCAGAAAATGCTTTTTCCCTCTCCACAAGCTTCAGAGTTCACAAAGTCAGTGGATGGAATTAGAAGCTGTGAGCTATAGTAACATCAGATATTTGAGGCAAAGATCAGAATTTGATGACTGCACCTAATGTTTCCTCCATGCATTTCTGATCCCTAAGCCAAGGCTTAAGTTAATGGCTCTGGATTCTCCATATTACATTTCTGTATCTTTTGAGGTCAACTTTGGAGAAAGTGAATTTTTGCTCTGTTGCTGAGTTTGTTTGACTCTAGTTTAATTAAATCACTCAAGAACCTTGTCTAACTTGGCTGCAGTTGAACCTTTCAGCTTTGTGGGAGGTGCTGATCTGGTGCTAGGCATGTTCAGAAGACATCAAGGAAAAGTGGCTGAGAGTTCTCCTGGTACCTTTCATTCACTTCCTTTATTTGGTTTGCATATCCTTATTGGATCACTTCCCCAGTCTGCTCCACAAGAAGGAATTCTCCTTTACCACATACACAAAAAAAGCTGTGCATTGTGAATGGTCCTCAGGATCTTTCAGATGCATTCAGAACACAAGGAGGAAGTGGTCTGATCAAAACAGGGATTTAAGGGAACATATGCTAGTAGTGGAATTAAAGACAAAGGAACCATCGGTCTTCTACAGGACTGTCAAACAAACCAGCTGTACCGCAAGGAAGTGGAATGTTGATATGTTAATGGTCTGGTTGTTCCCAGTCTCCTGATGGAAAGTGAAGAGGGACAAGTTAGCTCTACTCTTCCTTGGAGAAGGCAATGGCACCCCACTCCAGTACTCTTGCCTGGAGAATCCCATGGACAGAGGAGCCTGGCAGGCTACAGTCCATGGGGTCCCAAAGTTGAACACAACTGAGTGACTAACACAGTCCTTCTTTACCGTAATTATTTGAATATGTGGTAGAATGAGCCTTAGGTTTTCAGGTGCCCACTTTGCTAGATGTCGGAGATTTGGGAGAGAGAGAAAACTAGATATCTGTAGCTGTTTCTGGACTTCTTTAGAAATACTGGGTTTGGTCTCTTGCCATTGAGTTTTCACACTGATAATGAATTCCAGTTGGCCTTTGTGCTCCCAAGTGCTAAGAGGTTACAGAATGTGGCAGACTTAAAAATGACCAGAAATAAGACTGGCCTGTCTTTCTGACTTGGCTTCTCTGAGAATACATGAGAGGAGAGTGGGTATCACTAGGTTCTGAAACTCCCTGCCTTATTTACATGTTCCCTGGCTATGAGAGGTGAGGACTGAAGCAGTGAAAAAACAACAGACTTGGCGGATCTGGTATTTCAGCCAATGAAGCAGTGTAGCTGGCAAAGGGCTGGCTGGTTTGTCTGTC